GATCATACCCTATCCGACAGGATCAATGCTTCAGATTTTAATCTATGAGTGAATAGAAACCAGACAATGTTAAGAAAATAATCAAAGAAATCCGAGATTGCTTTGAACGTGTGCAAACAGCAAAGACAAAAACCTTGCATCCTCGAAGAAGCCTTTTTTGTCTTTCTGAACATAACATTTCTCAGTGAGTTTTAGAGCCCTCTTCTACTGTGATGTTTCTAGAGCTCAGGCATTCCACATTTTATATGATACTGAAGTGCCTGGCTACATGAGATTTTCTTGAGCATTCCTTTCCAAAGAGGAACAAAGATGCCGGGTTATCCCCTCCAAGATTCAATACCAGAGCAAGGCATGGCCACCCTTTTTCTACTCTGACACTGGATATTTTCCCTGCTCAAGGTCAGAAGCCAGGTGACCAGGCACCATCTCTGACCACAGCCCTTGTCCTCTCTGAGATGTGTGTCTGTGCCCACAGACCTGAATCCACACTGTGCTGCTTCGTTCTTAGACGCTCCTTTGTTCTTACACATGGCTTATTCAAGAGAAGGCAGGCAAGCAATGACTAATGTCATCATACATGTATGTTCATCTTATATGTTTAAATATTACATGCATCTTTAAACATGTGTTTAAATATGACATGGCGCTGGAGCTTGAAATCAAGGCCTAGGCACTATCCTTTAGTTTTTTCCAACCAGGGCTGGTGCTCTGCCACTAGAGCCACTGCTCCACTTCTGCTTTTTGCTGGTTAACTGGAGATTAGAGTCTCATGGACTTGGCTTCAAACTGCGATCCTCAGACCTCAGCCTCCTGAGTCATTAGGATTACAGGCGTGAGCCAGCGGTGCCCAGCTGTATCTAAGTAATTTATGTGTATATACAGAGTGTATGTTTTCTGAGTGCAAGGTATTCTTGGAACTGTGAATATAAAAACAGAGAAGGAAAAAAAATCCCAGCTCTCACAGTATTACATTCTAATGGAGAAAAATGAATGAATTCTAAATGAGAATATATTGAGTAAGTTCTCTGCAGCGTTTGAAGATAGACACGAGAACAGGACCGCTGTGTGGGGCTGAGCAATGAGAATGGGAAAACTCTGGGGGGACGTCAGTTTCCTGGAACTCTGGCATGTCCAAATGCTAGTGTGGCCTTGGCCTAGGCTGGCTCTTCTGCTGGAATGTTCCAGACTCAGGGGTAACCGGGCTCATGTCAGCTAACTGCCAGGCTTCCTGCTTGCTTCTGACTGCCTAGGACAGACCAGCAGGAGGACGTTAAGGCAAAGTGTCTCTGATCCTGCTGCGATCCCGGCAGGCGGCCGCAGTGTGCCATCGGCTCTCAACTCTCCCCTCTCACTGGTGTCATTGCGGAAAAAGTACTGGCTTGGTCCAAAACGAATGGGTTTACCTTGCAAAGAATCGTGCAGTCTGTCTGGCACTAATCTCTAAAACAGAGGGCCCAGACTCTTCCTCCTATCCCGTGTTTTAGCTCTGCATCTCCATCCACAGGTTTCTGCATCTTGCTGGTGCCCTCTCTTCCTCTGTGTGGCCTGGCTGTTTGTCTTGACGCTCAAGGGCTCTGCTGAGTGATGTTTCTATTCAAACTGATGAGGAGGAAGTGACAGGTGGTGGTGAGGGAAACAGAGCTGTCAGTTCTGTCTCAGGTTTCCCTGACTCAGCGGTGCATGGGGGCGCAGCAAGCCGCTAGCTCCCGGCCTCCCGACATCACAATGAGCTTTCAACTCTCTTCCCATTGCTGCAAACACGGAACAAGCAAGGCCACAGGATGGGGTTGAACCAGGGAGTCACCCAGGACTCACAGAGGACCCAAAGACATCTATGTCGCCATGTGCAATCCAGGAGAGGAAGCTGAACAAGGGGGGAGCGCCTCAGTACTTCCACTCTGCCCTGAATCGCCACCTTCATCGCCCACCTTGCAATCTGTGCTCCACGCTGCTAGGTGCTGGATCTTTCAGGACTTGACTTCTGTCTTTTTCTTGTCCCCTCTCATCCCTGCCACCTGTCACATGGACTGTGATGGTCACTCAAAGCCCTCTGCACCGTCTAGCTCCTGCTCTTGACGGGAGACTCCACCTTGATGATGTCATCACCTTGCAGCTCCAGGCTGGTCTCCCTCTACTCTGTAACCTATCCTCAGCCCAGCCACCAAATGGATGTGCCCCGAACGCACTCCAGGCTACCTCTGCGGTATTCAGATATCTGCAGCAAGCAAATCGCAGCCAGAAACAGAAGAGATGTGGAACCCACTGAACCCAAAGATCAATATTTGGTGATGAACCCAAAGATCAAAATTTGGTGAAACTTCAAATGGCACGCACAGGTTTAGGTGGGACAATGGTATGACAGTTGTGTTTCTCTTGAATCCTTTAGCTTTTGGAGATGATGTACTGAAATACTCAGAAAACAAAATGATGTGACATTAGCCATCACTGTCAGTACTTATACTGGTGGGAGACATGGCTTTGGGTACAAATAAAGCATGTTTTTCAATGACATGGAAAGTGGATATGGGATATATGGGACTGTGTTCTACTGTTGCATTTTTATTATAATAAAACACATTAAAAGCATACAGCAGCCCCCTCCAATTCCCTCCCAGCCTTTATAAAGAATAGTCTATATAAAGCCTTCAGATAGAATAAGTTCACATGGCCCGACACAAATGGCTCCTAATTCCTCAGACTCCACCCCTTGCTGCCTGACTCCTGGCCAGCTCTAGCCACGCTGGTCTCTGGTCCTAACATGCCAACGCAGCTCCAGCTCTAGTCCCGGAGCATATCTCCAACATCTCCCTCTGCCTGGTGCGTCTGTCCCCCAGCCCTCAGCGTGAGAGTCCTGAGAGTCCATTCATGAACTCATCAATGGACCAGGCATTCCTGCATCACCGACTTACATGCTTGTCTTTAAGACTCTCTAATCCTGCCTTGAGGGACTGGATTGCCTTTCTAACTGAACTCAGACAATAGCTGGATCCAGTTAACACTGAAGAAATACTTGATCCTCCAGAAGGAAGGCACAAGAGAAGAGGCAGGGATGGGGAAGGGTAGGGAGATTCCCAACAACAGAGGCAAAGAGATAGGCAAAACGAATATAAATCGGGATTGGCTGAGTGTTCCCAGTGCAGTACTGACTGCCAGAGCCTGAACAGGAAGACACAGCTTCGTGCTTTTCATCCAGTATACAGAACATGTGCATCTGCCCAATTCCCAAAGCCCCTGACCCATGTTAAGCTTGGCCAGGCCTAGTCCCTATTGCATCTGTGGTTGGCTTTTCATTTAGAGGTAACAGGTGCTTCTGGAGATGGCAGCCGTCATCCATGGAAACATAAACCTCAGAAGATTCCAGAAAATCACACACAATGAGGAAGTGCAGGCCTGAGAGGCAAGCTCTGACAAGCTGTTATAAAATAGCACTTGTAGCTGTCCAAGTGTAGACTAGAGATAGGTCCACATAAACACTAATCACAGCATGCGGTTGTCCCTGAAGGGCGTGTGCGCGCATGCAGAGAGAGGGAGAGCCTTAACGGCCGGCATAGCCTGCTGCCACCCTGAGCGCCCTTCCTCCTAGCAGCTTCCCCACAGTGACGCCTTCCTCCCTATAACAAGATGAAGGCCAGGAGAGGTCAAGCGACTTGCCAGCATCCCGCAGCTGCTGGGAAGTGAGTCAGGACCTCACACCCAGGATCCTTCCACTGTACAGAGGAGAGAGCAACCAGCCAACTGACTTCCTCATTTGACAGACAGGGAAACTGAGGCTCAGGCTGGGTGTGCTGAATGAGGAGTGGTGTTTCCAAGGTATTATAATTGGAAGAACTCACTCCCTTATCTCTCACCTACAGATCTCCACCATATCACCATCACAGGCCTTCTAAACAAGTCCTAGAATCTTGAAAATTCACGGCAGAGTTGTTTGGAAATCGAAGAGTTAAATCTTACTGGTGAGGAAGGACAGATTGGAGTTTGTGAGAAGAAAAGCAACCTGATTCTAGCAAGGAGGATAGAGCGGCCTGATTCTGTCTGATTATCAATCCACAGCTGATTCCCAATGCCACTGCCCAACTGAGTTAGAGGGTCTTCTGAATGAATGGGGATGCTTCTGCCAGACGCCAGGGCATCCTGCATCCTCCGGGCAGTCAGTGTTCCTTTGCCCTGCAGACAACGCCCTCTAGGGGGGACAGGAAGCCCCCTGGTCCCGAGCGGCCACCCCAAGCCCCAGGGCAGGATGCCAGTGCCTTGGGTACAGCTTGCTCCATACAGCAGGAAGGAGGGCCTGCGCCTCAGAGCACAACAAGTCTGTGACACCCTCACTCTGTGTCAGATACCATATTGTTAGCTTCATGCTAACAGGACCCGGCACTGGACCTGGGTCCAGCCCCATTTGCTGTGGATGCACAGGAGGGAATCTCACCCTGGTTATGTTTCTGCAGTTCTTCTGCTTAAACCTGTAGGAAGAGCCAGGCATACTGGCGATGTTAAAACACATCAAGGATGTCCAATTTACATAAGACAGATGCTTAATTAAATCAAAAGATTAAATTAAATGCCACACGGAACATGATATTCAATGATAATATGGATACCTGGGTTAAGCAGTGTAACATGTTAGAAGCTCCCTCTTTGTTCCTATTTTCCCTTAGGCTTTTCTTAAAGCTTAGTCCAAATCTCACCTCCTTCATGAGGCTCCGATGACCTCCAGGCTGGGCCTCTGGTGTGCAGTGCCCTCTCCAGCACTGGGCCGCCCTCTATCAGGCACTTTGATCACACAAGGATGTGCATTACTGCATACCCGAGTCACAAACTCATCTCCATGCTGCCAAACCTGAACCAGGGCATATTACATGGGAGCTTCACAGAAAAGCGAGCTGAGTCTACCCTTCTTCTGATTGCAGTATTAATGCCAGGTGCCTGAAGCTGGCTCCTGTCCTTATAAACTGTAATCCAGTGTGCGTATGCTGGGCATTGGAAAGGGAAGACAGTTTACTTACTCGGAGACCTTGTAAGCCAGGGGCTCCATCTTTGCCTTCTGGACCAAGCAGACCCTTTAGGAAGGGAAAAAATAAGAAGAGAGAGAGGGCAAGTAGTAAATGCAGGGTTTAAAAGCACAGGTTATTCCTCTTGGTGGATGGGGAAATCTTGCCTCCTAATATGAAATTGTAAGGTCAGGAGAGAATGAACAACACATTATTTCCAATTCACTTAAAAAATATGGAGATCTCTTTGGCCCAATTAGTATGGTTAACAAGGAAGATGTAAGCAACGCCATGTGAACTTTACTGATAAGCACAGTAAGGAGTCGATGGCTTATTTTAATGGACTCTATAAAGCACACACAGAAGAACTAAACTATAGCACAAGCATTAGGTTCTAAGCCCAAGGCCTTTTTCCTTACAGCTTGCTGGCTCAGAAAGAACTAGCTTCACCTTTGTTGAAAGATAACTACTTTGTACAACTACTTAACGGCAGTAAACTATAATTTAAAAATAAAATAAAAAGCCAGGCACCGGTGGCTCACACCTATCAGGAGGCTGAGATCTGAGGATCATGGTTCAAAGCCAGCCTGGGCAGGAACGGCCATGAGACTTTTATCTCCAATAAACCACCAGAAAACCAGAAGTGGCACTCTGGCTCAAGTGGTAGAGCACTCACCTTGAGCTAAAGAGCTGAGGGAGAATACCCAGGCCCAGAGTTCAACCCCCACAACTGATAAAATAATAATAATAAATAAAACAAAAGAACTAGCCTCGGTCTCCCAACTCTCAGGCAACAATGCTGTGCAAGGGACAAGGAAATGAAAATGTGTAGGAAAGAAATGCACTCTTGCCTAGGTAAGGAGCTTTACTGGGGGTGGAAGTGAGGTTCGACACAATCCTCACTCATATCCCACGCCCTCACCCTTTCTTGGACCTGCTGCGAACGTCACTTGGCATTGTCCAACAAGGCCTCTGGTTCTGTCAGTTTAGTCATTTGTCATTGTTGAACTTCAACAATGAGAAGAATGAATAGGTTTCCCAAAGCACTTGAGAAAACCACAAGAAGTGTGGGCGCTAATATCATGACCCAGTACCGCATGGATGTCTTCACTGAGAGCTTCTAGAACCTACAGAGAAGCCAAGTGGACAGCCAAGAACCCTGACTCAAGCTCTGGCTCCATCACTGCTTCTGAGTAAATCATAGTCCTCTCTACATTTCAACTTCCTCATCTGAAATAAATAGCATTATCATCCTAACTGCTCCTACTGACAAATGTTCCATAAATAATTGGTGACCAAGCTGTATTTAGATATGACTTCTTTAATACTGCTTTGTAAATGAACTCAGCAATGCACAGACTGCAAGAATTAAATGTGTGCTTACCCCTCCCTTGTAAGGACAGCTCTGCTAGACTCAGGGCATATAGGGAGAGAAGACCATAGCAGAGTCAGTCTGGATTAAGCAGCAAGAAATGGATGGCATCGATTTGCTCAGTTGGACTTGTCTTACACTCAACCAGACATTGGTAAAACTACCAGGGCCTATTTCATTGTGGAGAAAGGGTAAAAGTGGTCGGCATTTGGATGCAGAATGCTGTACACAGTTTCCACTTAGAGAATAGGATATATTTTTCCTCTCTCTGGGTTTGCTGAACACAAACTTAAAACTTTTCATACTCGACAGAAGTCACTGAAGCCATCTTCTCATTTCAGTTCAGTTGGATGAATATTTAGGAAGCAATTGCTCCATGCACCCTGATCCAGGGGCCTTGGGGACTCAAAACACGTAGAAACAACCACTGACATCGAAGCTGGTCTTAATAAGCCTTCGTAAGCCCCTGCTTTGTATATTAGTTCATTTAACTTTTGTAGCATGGTTAGGTGAGACGATCAAGATGACTTCCCAATTTTGAATGACTCAAGTGAGGATTAGAGACATTACAGAATGTCACCAAAGACATAAATCTACTTTGTGGGTAAGCATGGACAGAAAGCCAAATGCTGCTTTGGCTCTTCATCCCTGGTGCTTCCCAGAGCCACACTGATCTTTATAAGCTCACACTTCAATCAGACCCACATTAGTGCTCTCCTCTTAAGTGCCCAGTTGAGGGCCATCCCATTACACGCATATCTTATGCTCTGGTTTTGCAAGAAACACTGAATGTAACGAAGTTGGTCCTGTCTTGAAGGATCTTCCTGTCTCTGATCTTTCACTATTGTCCTCCTTTGAACAAAGCTAGGCTGGTGGCTTTCTGAACTCTGCCCAAGGGAATTTCACCAACCATGTATTTAGGTTAGTACCGTTTAGTACCACGTATTTTACTAACCCTCACTCTATCAGGAGCACCTGGCCTGGAGGGTATCTTCAGGACCACGGACAGCTCTGCGGGCTGGCAGATTGGCTGTCCTGGTGTTTAGGGGTCCTTTTCATAATCCTGTAGTATATAGACCCTTATGCACTAGGTGAAGTGAGTTCTGGGACACTCAGGTCTGGTTTCCTGGGTGGCTGATTTCAGGGTCATGTCCAGGTTTCTGAGCTACACACATCAGTGGGAAGCACAATTATTTCTCAGGCCTGGGGAAATTCTAAGCCCACCCTGAGCGGGAGAGGGATGGCTTACCGGTGCCCCTGGTGGTCCAGGCGGGCCCTGGTGACCTCTTGGTCCTGGAGCCCCCTAGAAACACAAGCAGCACATGCATTCTCCATGACCCTTCCCATCGCCCTCCACCTGACCCAGACCAACACCGGGACCACCACCCCCTGACAGTAGTTCGTGGCCCTCATCCCTAATAGGCACTCAGTAGCATCGGTAAGGCACCTGCCTTCCTGGCAGGGAGCCAACAGGGTCCATCCCTGCCCAAGGCTCCGTGGATCCTGACTCCTTGTCTGTGGCCCTCCCACTTCCACAACTGAAATCCCCACAATGGGAGGCTCTGCGTCCGCTTACCTGCTCTCCCTTCGGGCCCTCTCTCTGCATCTGTGAGACAAACAGGTGTTAGCGAAGGGGCTGGCCCTGTCTCGGCAGCAGCCACACTCACTCCAGCCCATCCAGGGCATTCACATGCCATGCTGTGATTGGGCAGTTCCGGGCTTGTATCTGATTTGATCCCATTTGTGTGTATGTGTGTGTGTGTGTGTGTGTGTTGAAAGCCTTCTGTCTCACGCCTGTCACTGTCTTTATGCTTTGAGGTAAAGACCCTTCCGCCGCTGGTGACTCACCACAGAGCCTGGCACACCAGGAGGGCATGTAGGTCCAGCTTCACCCTGTGGAGAAACAGCGAGCACTTTCACTCAGTTACACGCTGCCACCGCCAAGCCCCCGGGACCTGCCTACTCTTCTAATCCCAGAGGACTTCCTTGGAATGCCCTCAGCAGTGTCAGTCTCTCACGCCCGGACTTATTCTACCACGGCAGTATTCTGGAAGCTTCTGCATCTGGTTCTTACCTCTGCATCAGACTCAGCTTTCTGAGTTTTCTCTTTGTGTACATTCAGCTCAGGGCCTGCCTCTGGCTGGGGGTCTATGAATGGACCTTTCCTGAGATTTGTGCAAATGCATGCTGCTTTGAGAACAGCCCTCGGTCTACCACTCAGTGGGCACCGGCAGGGAGCAGGCACAAAAGGAATCGTGAGCTATAACTGGTAACATGACCATTGTGCTAAGTTCATACAACCAGCACTCAACTAATATCTATGGAAGGACTAAGCAAATGACTGCAATGCTGTCCAGCCATCTTACTTGTGCTATAGAAAAGACACCACACATCTGTCCCCTTGGTGTATAGTCCCCTGGGCTATCATGGCCATGGCTTGGCCATACTGTATTTCCCAAGGTCTGAACAATGTTGTGTTCTGCATGGAGACTTAACTGTGCAAATTCAAATCCCTCTATCACACGTTGACCTCACTCTGGTATCTAACTTAAGCAAGGAGAGTGCTTGTATCTCTGTCCTTACATACAACCTTGAAACACTGTTCTCCTTTACCCTCGACTCGGCTCAGGGGTCACGAGAAGAGGTCAAAAATGATCAAATGAAGAAATAAGATACCAAAAACACATGAAAACATCTCTGTATCCTAAGATCAAAAAATAAACACAAGTGACTGAGGGCACGTCTGCCATCCTGTGCTGCATTCTGGGAAATGTTAGGTGGACAGGGTCCCATCCCCCTTGGCTGCTCTCACTTCAGACCCTCCTTCTGACACCAGGCCTATGCACACATTCCTCTCCTTCCCACGTCCACTGTCTCCCACGCCTGCTCCAGGCAGGGGAAACTCACCTCCTTTGGTGTAGCACCAAGAGAATCCCTAAAATCTCCTCTGCCCATCTTGTGATGTCAAAGTGTGTGGGTGCAGCTTCCCCACGTACCTCCTTTTTGGTCTTTCCTATGTGATTACTGAGCTTTCTGCCTCACAAATGTGGTTTATTGGGGTTTTCTTCCTCTTGGTATTACTACTGCCCACACAGGTGAACACACATGGACCCACACACGGGGCACACCCACCCATGTGCATGCCCACACCGTGTATTTGAAGCCATTCTATACCATGACCCGGCACTTCTGTGATGTGTACACACGACAGTCACACACCCTGATCCTCGCTCAAGGACATCGGCGTTTCCTGCCAAAGCACTTGCCTCTTCCCATAAAGTGACACAAAAACTTCATTCCCACTGGGCTCTGGTGGCTCACCCCTGTAATCCTCCCTTGTCAGGAGGCTGAGATCTGAGGATCATGGTTTGAAGCCAGCCCAGGAAGGGAGATCTGTGAATTTTTTAATCTCTAAATAACCATCAAAAAGCCAGAAGTAGAGCTGTGGCTCAAGTGGTAGAATGCTAGCCTTGAGCAAAAAAACTCAGGGACAATGCCCAGGCTCTGAGGATAGTGGCTTCTACAAGCCACAGTAATTTTTGGTAAGATCAGATGGCTGAGACCTGGTAAAAAGAGCCCCTAACACTTTCATTTACACATTTATGCATTGCATCACTAACACATTCACTCTTTATATTTTGAATATTGTCATCGTTACTAACAAAAGTTAGTTTTCCATAATAACTATAAAGGCACTTGACACATGTTTGAATCACTCACAGTTGGGATATGTTAAATTATCGCTAAGGAAAGATAAGATCCTGGCATTTTCCCATAACCGCTGTGCACACATCACCTATAGCTGCATGAGAACTTTCTCCAAGAAGTTGCTATGAATCCACCTTTTTCTCTAGGGCGTGACCTTCTCATCTCAGGGACAAGGACACTCTGAGGCACAGAGATATTTAGGGACCAAGGTAAAAAAAATTGTATTCGAGAGAGTCAAGTCTTTTTCTAGAAACATTTCAGTTCGTGAGGAGTCTTGGCCACGCCAGGTGTCTCCGGGCGGCCTTTCTGGCATTTCTCCACATGGCAGGCTTCCCGTGATTGTGTCATAAACATGGCTGCACCTGCCATCCCGGGTTTTCCCTCCCCCTTTGCTCAGGCACTGGGTGGAACAATGTCCAGTGTGAGCAGCCTGGTGGGGACGCCATGGAAGGAGTGGGGCTTCTAGCAAGGAGGGAACAGGAGGTCCTTGAAAGCCAGCTCTGTGGACTGAGCAGCCCCAGGCGAGTTCCTGAGCCCAGACAGTCCAGTCATGTCTCCTAGACCCCGTCCTCTAAAACTGTGAGATGACAAACACTCGTTGTGTGGAGCGACTACGGTTTAGGATCACTGGTTACATAGAAATGGATGGCTAATACAACCACAGAGTTGAGCTAGTAAAATCCCTAATGTGACATAAAGACTTGATTCCCACTGGGCCCAGGTGGCTCACGCCTGTAATCCTCGCTTGTCAGGAAGCTGAGATCTGAGGATCAAGGTTTGAAACCAGCCCAGGAAAGGAGATCTGTGACTCCTTATCTCCAAATAACCATCCAAAAGCCAGTAGTAGTACTGTGACTCAAGGGGTAGAGTGTTAGCCCAGAGCGAAACAGCCCAGGGACAGCTCAAGCTGAGTTCAAGCTCCAGTAATAGCAAAGTGCGTGCACACATGCACACACACACACACACACACACACACACACACAGAAGAGGTTCATGCCCAACAAAGAGTTCAATAAGACCGGGCAGCACAGCTTTGGATGGATACTCTGAACCTGAGACTTTTTCTAGAATCAAATCAGCTGTGAAGTTAGGGGAGAGACACCCACACTTGAGGGCCTCTGGGTCTCGTGTGCTCTAAAAGACCACCCCATGGTCCCAGTGACCTGCTCAGAGTGCATGACATTAAAGAGTCTACAAAATCCAAGGTGTGCACTCTAGGAATGAGACGAGAGTCATAAAACCACCTGCGCCTTGCTGCGTCCTTGAGTATCTCAGTGAACTGTTTAAATAATGCCCTTCACCTTGTCTGCCCTTCCACCACTGCTGAATGCATCACAATGAGGATAACTGAGTGCTTCTTCTGATATGAGGGTCCACACCCATCACACACACACAGCAGCAGCAGCAGCAAACAGTTATAACCTAAGTGGCAACTTCAGGTATCTGTCTGACTTGATATGAACAAACCTAAGGGCTTAACATCCCCTGTGGAGAATATCCTGGATACCCTCCATGATATCCAGGATATTCTAACCATGAACACCTCAGCTCTGAAAACTCCTTGCATGAGGGAGTGGAACTGACTCAACTGGCAGTGGAGGAGGAAGCCCCCCCCCCTCAGCCAGGAGCTGCCACACCTCAGTCCCCGGCCTGCGTTGTGCTTCACTATTTCTGTAGAATGCACCTTCTCTGCTGCTGCTGTAAAGAGTTGGCAACACCTTCCCTATTACTTTTGGGGTGTATGTAGAACTGGACTGTCCCCTGATGTCCTCCACCTGGACACTGGGAAGCTGCTCTGATCTACCATCTCAGCAGCACCGCCGGATGCCTGCCCTCCACAGCCGGTCCCCCCCCCCGCCCTCCAGAGCTGGTCCCCCCCCTTCCCTCCACTGCCAGTCTCCCCTCCTGCCCTCCAGCCCAGAGCCTGACTGAGTTGGAACAAACACCCTCCTCTCAGCCTCACACACAAGCTACTCTTAGCATCCTTTCTCCCATGCTCCAAAATCCACCATGGAACTTCTTTCCCCTCTCCTTCACCCTGAAGGCTTTTACCAAGTCATTATGTACATGTGGTCATTTCGGTCATTTCGCTTGGGATACAAAGATCCTAAGCAGCAAATGTATCCACTTAGCCTTGTGAGAAGGTGTTCTGAAACGGATAACCAGGATGATGACCTGAGCTTTTACTCTGCTTATTACAAATCTATTAGCCTTATATTGTCCAAAAATATTTTAAGTAGCAAAAGGCTTTAATATTTCTAGAAATTATATAATATTGTCTTTGGGTTTTTATTCCCCCTGACTTTACTCTTCAAGGCAGGGAAACAAGTTAGATACAATAGCCAGCTGGGTGCCGGTGGCTCACGCCTTGCTACTTAGGAGGCTAAGATTGGAGGATCACAGTTCAAAGTCAGCCTGAGCAGGAAAGTCCATGA